TAATATAAATGAAACTATATTTCTGAAAATGTTTCACAAACACAAGTGCATCTTTTCTCTTTGGTTCAGAAAATAAAAGAGGTAGGTTCAAATAAAGTAAATGCCATATTATTTCACTAGATTTTCATTAAAATGTTGGCAATTTAAAACAGAAATTCTTAGAAATCGAACAAGTTTAGGAACTAAATTAAAAAGTGGCAAGAATAACTTCAACTATTAATATTTTTCTAAGTCCTAGTCATACAAATCAGAAAAGATTGTGGACTACAAAAATGGCTTTAGTAAAATAAAAAATGCTATCGATATTAGAAATTAAGTTTTCTATATCATAACATGTTCCTAAAACTTGGAGCAAGAGAGAATATGAATGTATGTTTACAAATTGGGCCTTTCATTTAAGTATAGGTATCTAATGTGTAAGATTAATACATACTACTATTAGTATGTATCTCTTAGTTTGTGCTGCCAAAATTGAGAATGGCAGGTTCAAGGAAATTCAACAGTGAGCGGGAAATAAGCATGTCATTCGCCCGTGATCAGCCCACTTTATGTAATTAAAAAAGAGAAATTTCAGATTACTAAAAATGGTCCTAAGAAGCCTTCCTGATTAAAACAGAATGTGGTTCAAAAAGTGGGAAACAAAGGACAAAGAAAAGAGAGATGCTCTTCAGAAGCTGATACAAGTAAAAGGGTTTTGTTTCCTGCTGCTTTTCAAACAGTGACAGAATAAACAGAATCTTTCAAATTAGTTGTCTTGTGTTGACAATTTAACAGTAATATACTGAAAATCAGTGTATAATTCCAGGAACCAAATAATAGTACAAGTAAAATGAAAAAATGTGCACTGAAAGAAATATAATTTCATCACTCCTCCTTACAAATTCTACCATTTATGTTCATTCCTCTTCAGCTTAAAGAAAGATAAGAATATAAACCTAACACTTGGCTGCTGTAAGGTATATTCTAAATGTAATGATTTTCTATTAATGGTTCTATAGGGAAATTTTAAGAAGTCTATAAAGACATTCAGAATATATAAAACAAGACATTTAAGTAAAACGGAATTGGCATAAACTTGAACCAACCAAAATAAACATTAAGAATTTATAATTCTACCACACAAAACAAATTTAGTTCAAGCAAGTACATTCTGAGATTTAGGATTCAGGGCAGAGATTTGCAGGACTAGAAAGAAAAGAAAAAAGTATAATTTTGTGGCCTTTTCAAAACTTATTAAAACTGTGATTTTTAACATTTCTCAATATATAAAATTAAGCCCAAATATTTGAAGTGATCATTGATACGCTCTTCCTTTTTGTGAAAAAAATACAGCTTTTGCCATAGACTTGTTTAAATTCTAGGAGGAAAAAGTCACCCTAGAAATTGTTGAAAATTACAACAATTATGCTAATCCAAAAAATTCAACATGTCATTTCTGGTTTAATCCTAAAGTTTGCTTCATATTTTCATAAACCACATAACTGATGCCTACAGCAGGGAGCACCTTCATGAAGTTTGGGGTGATGCCTCTGTAAAGTCCTGGTATTCCTTCTTTGGAAATTATTCGTTGAAAGAGGCCAACCATGTTCAGCTGTGGGGTTCCTTCTACCATAGCTAGAAAATAAAAAAAGAAACCAGGCTAATTTAATATTCAAGCATGTTTCATCATTATTACAATAAACAATTATGATTCAGAATGATATTCTAGAATACAGTGAAAAGATAAAATTCCAAGAAGCCCAAGAAAGTACCCCTTTATATAACTTTCTTTGTATAGCACCTAATAGTGAGTGCTCTAACAGTGACAGTAATAATAGTTAGTTATTGAGTAATTACTATGTGTTAGACACTGGGTTAATTACTTTCCATACCAATCCTGCAAGGTAAATTTTATCCATTTTATAAATGAGGAATTGGAGGCTTAGAAAGATGGAGAAATTTGTCTTAAATCGCTTAGCTATCAAGTGGCAGAGCTGAGATCCAACGGTCTGTGTAACTCCAAGGCCCATATACTTTTCACTACACCACACTGCCACCTCCTCCTCCTCACTAGCCAAGTGCTGAAGACAGAACAGTTAAATCTTGGGAACCAGGGGGGAGTAAGGGGAAAGCTTTGGGAAGCTTAGGAAAGGTATGGGGGATCTGGGCCTTGGAAATGACCTCAATAGGCAAGAAAAGGAAGCAGGGAAAATCCGTGTTGCTGGTACAACCAAGACCAGGGCAGGAATACTCGTGTGCTGTGGGGACACAGCTGACTGCGGATGTGGCTGTTACACAGACAGTATAAGAGGCTGGAGGTGGACAAGGTAGGGGCAGGAAAATAGAGAAGAAGAAAAACTAAAGTGGGCCCATATTATCAAAGGCTTGGAAATTCCCACTAAGAACTTTGGAATTTACTCTGAAGACATTGAAGAGTTTCAAAGATGTCTGAACAGATGTCAAACGGTCAGACCTTGTCATCAGAAATGACAAATCTATCAGCCATGCAAAGCCCTGGATTGGAGCTGGCAGACAGGAGGGCTTAAATCAGACTGCATGGGTTTGAATTCTAGCTCCACTATTTACCAAATGTACAACCTTGTGGAAGTTATGTGCTCTCTCTTTGCCCCAGTTATTCATCTGGAAAATGGGGACAATGTTAGTATTCCCCACCCCCTAGATGGTTATGGTGGTTAAATGACATAATACACAAGAAACGTTTAGTTTATTATTTTGCATTTTTCTCTGCAGCCATATAATTGTCTTTCAGCTCCTCAAATATGCCGTGTTTGCTCCTGTCCCCATGTCTTCATGCATGCTTGCCCTCAGCTCCTTGCATTCTGCTCCCTTTGCCGTGCCCAGCTAACCCCCACTTGTCTTTCCAGTCTCAGCTTAACTGACAAGGTTCTGCAGCTTCCAAGTTATGTTACGGCCCCTTGCTCTGTGCTCCCCTACAAAGGGGACGTGGTTTAACAAGCTTGTTTACTTGCTGGACATATTTCTTCTCTACAATGGCAGACCACATCTGAGTTGGTGACTGCTCTAACCCTAGCATCAGGCAGACAATGGCTCAGGAAGTACCTGTCCCTTAATTAATGACTGCTTGGTTGGGGGAGGGGTGGCTGGCACTTGAAAGGGTGACTGAGGATGGAGCCGTAGGTGCCCAGGGTATACTATTTAAAGAAATGACAGTGGGGAGACTGACCAGGAAAAGCATAAAAGGGAATAGAAAGGCACAGAATGCATATTTTAATGGAGTGTGTATAGCAATTAAAGCCAGCAAATAGTAACAGGAAAATAATCAATGACCTGGACAAGAAGAACAAAGTAAAATAAAAGCCAACAGTAGAGACAGTGTCACAGTGAGGAGGAATCACAGCTCAAGTAGCACTAAGAAACAATTCTAGCCACCATTTACCAAGAATTTAACAAATGCCAGAGGCTTTACATATACTGTTGCTAATTCTTATAACACTGCATAATTTTCATTCTCACTGAAAACCCAAAGAGGTGTAGTAGGGCAAAGATCTAAACCCAAATCCATCTAGATACCAAAGCACGTTCAATGCTTGAACATGCATTCAACACAGTCCAAAAACTCTTACTGTTTATCTATGAAGCATATGCAGTGCATCTGTGCCATTACAATTTCATGAAGAGAGAACATTTATTTTATTTTTATTTTTTAAAAGCATCTCTGAAAAGTTTCCTCAGGAAGATAATAATGAAAAAAATGTTGAGAAATACTGTCTTCAAACTATGCTCATCTGCCTCAGTAGAACTTGGAGTTCCAAAAGCACATCACGCACACAGTCCTTCATCAGTGTCATTCTGTAATCAAAAACTCACCTTGAGCCTGCATGCGGGTTCTCACCAAAGCCAAGGGGTAGCTGGCCAGCTGACCACAGGTGCTAGATAAGGCGCCACATCCCAGCAACACCATGACTCCTGGGTTTACAGAGTCTTTTGCAAAATTATCTAGCCAATAGGACTTCAAGAGCTGCAAGAGAAACAGAAAAAAGAAGAAAAATAATGAGTAACTCTATAATTGCTTTTACTCAATGTAAACATTTTCACAGCTATTCTCATCCCCATGAGAGAGAGGCCACATTTCTGCAAGACAGAGCAGTACGTTCCCAGGAGCAGCAGCCACTGTAGGAGGCCACAGCTCTGTGGAGAGGCGGGGATGCCACTGGGGATTCAGAACACGTGAGGTTTGCACTGGTGGCTCATTTTCTTCTAAACAAATACGAAGATCAACAGCACACCAAATGTGGTAGGATCTAAAGAACATTTCTTACGGTGGGTGGGCATTAACAAAATAATATAAAACTACTAATTATATCTCATTTTAGACTTTACACATATATCATTTCATTTGGTCTTTAAGAACTCTGACATGAATCTATTATTCTAATTTTAGAAATGAGGAAAATTCATCTCAGTGGAGTTTTTTAAGAAGGGCTCAGAACCAGGATGTACTGATCCATGGGCCATGCTTTTCCCCCTATTATACTGTGTCCCTGTATTTCATTAGAAGGCAATAATTGGGAGAAATTATATAAAATATATATGTTAATCAACTTTTTAGACAAAATATTTTCAGCATAAAAATACATGTGAATATATGAAAAAATTATACAACTAGTTTAAATGTTTTAATCCTACCAGATTGTAAGTAGATTTCTCAATGGAAACCTTGCACGCTAGAAGGAAGTAGAATGTTATATTCAAAGTGCTAAAATTAAAAAAACTGCCAACCAAGAATACTGTATTAGCAAAACTATCCTTAAAAACCAAAGGAGAAAATAAGACCTTCCCAGATAAACAAAAGCTGAGACAGTTCATCATCACTAGACCTTCCCCACAAGAAAGGCTAAAGGGAGAAACAAAAGGATGATTAACAGCAACACAAAACCATATGAAAATTTAAAACTCCATGGTAAAGGTAAATATATGGAAATTATAAAATCCTATAGTATTATAATACAGGTGTATAAATAACTTTGAAATCTAAATTTCAAAAATAAAATTTAAACAGAATTTTAAAAAACAAAAGAATAAAAAGTAACTATAAATCTACGTTAATGGATACACAATATAAAAAAAGGTAATTTGTGTCATCAATAACAAAGTAGAGGAGGGAATGTCATAGATGTATAAAAGAGTGAAGTTTTTATACACAATTGAAGTTAAGTTGTAACCAGTTTAAAGTAGATTGTTTTAACTTTAACTATGTTTCATGTAATTGCAACAGTAACCACAAAGCTAATATCTACAGAACATACACAAAGGGAATCAAAACATGCCATACAAAAAAATCAACAAAACACAACAGAAAGCAGCAAGAGAGGAAAGGAAAAGATGAAAAAGTGGTAAGACAAAGCTACAAAACAACTGAGAAAATGACAATAGTAAGTCTTTCCCTATAGAAATTGCTTTAAATATAAATGTATTAAATCTCCTAATTAAAAGACATCAATTGCTGAATGGATAAAAGATACAGAATCAACTATATCCTATCTATAAGCAATGCACTTTAGACCCAAGGACACACATAGGTTGAAAATGAAAGGATAGAAAAAGATATTCCACACAAAGAGAAACCTAAAGAGAACAAAGGTGGCCATACTTATATAAGTATAGATTTTAAGACAAAAAGTGTCATTGGAGACAAAGATGGACATTATCTAATGATAAACAGATCAATTTACCAGGAAGATATAGTAATTATAAGTATATGTGGACCCAACATTAAGCTCCTAAATATATGGAAAAGCACTACAGGAAGAAATAGACAGCAACATAACAAAAGCAGGAGATCTCAATACCCCACTTAGTTATGGATAGAACAACAGACACAAGATGAATTAAAAAAAAAAAAAAGAGGACTTGGAGAACAAACACTACAGACCAATTGGACCTAACAGCCACTTACAGAACACTCCACCAACAGCAGCAGAACACACCTCCCTCTCAAGTGTACATGGAACACTCTCCTAGGCAGACTACAAGCTCAGCCACAAAATGAGTCTTAACGAATTTACGCAGACTGAAATCATACGAAGTACCTTCTCTGACCACGGTGGAGTGACACTAGAAATCGCCAGCAGAGGGAAACAGAAAAATCCACAACTATACGGAAATCAAATAACTCACTTTTAAACAACCAATACATAGGTCAAAGAAGAAATCACAAGGGAATTTAGAAAATATCTGGAGACAAATGAAAACAAAAACACAGCATACCAAAATGTATGGGATGCAGCAAATGTAGTACTAAAAGGAAAGTTTGTAGCAATAAATCCTTACACTAACAAAGAATAAAGATCTCAAATCAACAACCTAACTTTATACCTCAAAGAACTAGAAAAGGAACACTCTAAACCAAAAGTTAGCAGAAGGAAGGAAATAATAAAGATTAGAGCAGAGATAAACAAAATAGAGAATAGAAAAACAATAGGAAAAAAATTGTAAAACCAAGAGTTGCTTTTTTGAAAAGATCAACAAAATTGACAAACCTTCAGCTACACTAATTAAGAAAAAAAGAGAGCAGACTCAAATAACTAAAATTAGAAATGAAAGAGGGGACATTACAATTGATGTCATAAAAATAAAAAGGATTAAAAGAGACTGTTACAAATAATTACATGCTAACAAATTAAATAACCTAAAAGAAATGGATAAAAATTCCTAGAAACATACTACTTATCAATACTGACTCATGAAAAAACAGAAAATCTGAATAGACCTATAACTAGTAAGGAGATTGAGACAGGAATCAAAATCCTCCCATCGAAGAAAAGCCCAGGACCAGAAGAATTAACCAGAAGAATTAACACCAATCCTTCTCAAACTCTTCCAAAGAATTGAAGAGGAGGAAGCACTCCCAAGCTCATTTTGTGAGGCCAGCATTACCCTGATACCAAAACCAGGCAAAGACACAACATGGTAATAACATGTTGATATGTTTTTCATGATAAAAACATTGAATAAACTTGGAATAGAAGGAAACTGCCTCAACATAATAGAAGGCATATATGAAAAGTCCACAGTTGACATACTCAACAGTGAAAACTAAACGCTTTCCCCCTAAGATCCAGCTCAAGCAAGGATGCCTACTCTGACCACTACTATTCCACATAGTACTAGAAGTCTGAGCCAGAATATTTAGACAAGAAAAAATAAAAGGATCCAAATTTGAAAGGAAGAAGCAAAATATCTCTGATTGCAAATGCTATGATTTTATATGCAGAAAACCCTAAAAATTCCACATAAAACTTAGAATTAAAAAACAATGTTAGCAAAGTTGCAGGATACAAAATTAACACAGAAAAAATCAAATGTGTTTCCGCTATGTATTAACATTGACCAATCTGAAAAGGAAATTTTTTAAAAAATCCCATTTATAATAGCATCGAAAAGAATAAAATACTTAGGAATAAACCTAATCAAGGAGGTGAAACACTTGTACACTGAAAACTACAAAACACTGCTAAAAGAAATCAAAGAAGATGTAAATAAATGGAAAGACATTTCATGTTCATGGACTGGAAGACTTAACACTATTAAAATGTCCATACCACCTGCCATGGACTGAATGTTTATATTCTCCCATAATGGTAGGGACCTGATCCAATAGGATTAGTGTCTTTATAAGAAGAGACATCACAGAATTTACAAGGTTCCTCTCCTCTCTCTCTCCCCCCTCAACCCCCACAACCCCAAGGAAAAGCATGTGAGGACACAGTGAGAAGGCAGCTATCTGCAAGCCAGAAGGAGAGCCTTCATCAGAAATTGAATCAGCCAGAACCTTGATCTTGGACTTCTAGCCTCCAGAATTATAAGAAAATAAATTTCTGTTGTTTATGCCACCCAGACTGTGGTATTTTGTTATGGCAGTCCAAGCAGACTAATACACTACCCAAAGCAATCTACAGATTCAATGCAATCCCTAACAAAATCCCAATGGCATTTTTTGCAGAAATAGAAAATACCATCTTAAAATTCATATGGAATCTCGAGGGATCCCAGATAGCCAAAATAATCTTGAAAAAGAAGAACAAAGCTTGAGGCCTCACAATTTTTGATTTCAAAACATACTACAAAATAACAATAATCAAAATAGTATGGTACTAGCATAAAGGCAGATACACAGACCAACAGAATAGAACAGAACAGAGAGCCCAGAAATAAACCTTTGTGTATACAGCGAAATCATGTTCAGCAAGGAGCCAAGACCACACACTGGGGAAAAGAGAGTCTCTTCAACAAATGGTGCTGGGAAAACTGGATATCCACATGCAAACGAATGAAGTTGGACCCTTATGTAACACCACATACAGAAATTAACCCAAAATGAATTACAGACCTAAACACAAGGCCTAAAACCATAAAACTCTTAGGAGAAAGCATAGGGGAAAAGCTTCAGGACGTCGGATTTGGCAACAATTTCTTGGATATGCCACTACGAGCACAGGGAACAGAAGCAAAAAATAGACAAATGGGACTACACCAAACTGGAAGTTTCTGTGCAGCAAACAATCAACAGAGTAAAAAGGCAACCTATAGATTGGGACAAAATATTTGCAAACTATATATCTGATAAGGAATTAAGTCCAGAATATTTTTAAAAACCCCTACAACTCAATAATAACAACAACAACAAAAAAAAACCTGATTAAAGAAATGGGCAAAGGACCTGAACAGACATTTTTCCAAACATGACATACAAATGGCCACCAGGTATATGGAAAGATGCTCAGCATCACTTATCATCAGGGAAATGCAAATCAAAACCACAATGAGATATTGTTTACACCCGTTAGGATGGCCACTAGCAAAACAAAAAACAAAAACAAGAAAACAGAAAATAAGCATTGGTGAAGACATGGAGAAACTGAAACTGCTACACACTGTTGATGAGAATAAAAAAAATGATGCAGTCACTATGGAAAACAGTATGGAGTTTCCTCAAAAAATTAAAAATAGAATTACCATCTGATCCAGTAATCCCACTTCTGGGTATACATCAAAAAGAACTTAAAACAGCAGCTCAAAGAGATGTTTGTAAAACCATGTTGACTGCAGCACTATTCACACTAGTCAAGATGTATTAATACAAACAACCCAAATGTTCATCAACAGATAAATACAAAAAAATGTGACATATATTAATATACACAATGGAATACTATTCAGCTTTAAAAAACAAAAGAAATCCTATCATACACTACAATGTGAATGAATCTTGAAGACATTATGCCAAGTAAGTAAGCCAGTCACAAAAAGACAAATACCACATGATTCCATTTACATGAGATATCTAAGGCAGTCAAACTCATAGAAAGAGAAAGTGTGTTACCAGGGACCGGGGTGAGGGAGAAACTGGGAGCTGTGTTTTATGAGTACAGAACCTCAGAGTTTTGCAAGATGAAAAGATCTGTAGCACAACAAACCACATATAGTTAACACTGTTGTGGTATGTATTTTAAAATGGTTAAGATGGCAAATTTTATGTTATGTGTTTTTTACCACAATTTAAAAAAAAAACCCAGTACAAGAAGTAAAGTCCTAAACCATAATGACATACCACTTCATACTTACTAGGATGGCTATGATAAAAGTTTTTCTTTTTTAATTTAAAAAGGAAAAATAACAATTGTTAACAAGGTTGTGGAAAAACTGAAAGTCTTCTATAGCGCTAGTGAGAAGGTAAAATGGTGCAGCCGCCATGGAAAACAGTTTGACAGTTCTTCAAAAAGCTAAACACAGAACTACTATATGACCCAGCAATTCCATTCCTAGGTATATGCCCAAAGGAACTGAAAGCAGTGACTCAAACAGATACTTAAATGCCAATGCTCATTGCAGCATTATTCACAACAGTCAAAAGGTTGAAACAATCCCAGTGCTCAACAACAGATGTATGAATATATACACACAATGGAATATTACTCAGCCATTAAAAGGAAAGAAGTTCTGATATATGCTATAACATGAACAAACCCTAAAGACATTATACTATGCTAAGTGAAATAATGACACGAAAGGACAAATACTGCATGATTCCACTTATAAGATATCTAGAATAGACAAATTCATACGGATAGTAGGTTAGAGGTTAGCAGGGCTTGAGGAGAAGGGAGAGTGGGGAATTATTGCCTAATGGTTAAAGATTTCCTGTTTGGGGTAATGAAAAAGTTTGGAAATAGTGTTGATGGTTGCACAGTATTGTGAATATAATTAATGCCACTGAACTGTACACTTAAAAACGGCTAAAATGGCAAATTTCATGTTATATTTTACTATAATTTTAAAAAATCAATAATGTAATATACCAAAAGCCATTTATTGGTACACTTTAAATGGGTGAAATATATGCAACATGAATTAAATATCAATAAACCTGTTAAAAACAAAAGTCAAGTCCTCTAAGAAAGCTTCATTTCACATTCCACCCCGCCTCTCAGCTGTAGGTGGGTCCCCCACCCCGGCACGCGCCCTGGCTTACACCTACCACAGCACAACTACCCACAGCGTGCTTTCGGTGTTGGCTTGTCTATCTCCCCCACCAAACCTTCAGTTTCTCAAAGGCAGATGCTGAGTCCTTCTTTGAATCCCTAGATCCAATGTCTAACCCAGTGGTTTGTATATTGTGTGCTCAATAAATGTTTATGAGATTCATAAATTGTTAAATGATTTAGGTAGCAGGGCTGATCCAAGATCTGTATTATGAGTCAGTACAAGGAATGAAACCGAATTAGCCCCATCAGTCACCTGAATTTATCAATGTGAGATTTTAAAACATTAAAGAAAATGTGACATTTTTGCTTATTTTCTCTCCCCTCAAAACAATCTCTAGTACCATCTTCTAAGATGAACAACTATACCTAAATTTGAATATACTCTTCAAGGAAATCTAATACAAAAGTGACCCCATGAATATTCTTCATATTCAAGGTGCTTGAAAAGAAAGTTCAAATAACATACACTTGAATCTAGAAATCGTTTTCTGGTATATATCTCCTTCTTCATATAAAGTCACATTCTAACAACAAGAGCTATTTAACTACATTTTCAGACTCAAAAGATTGCTATAAACTCACCTCATACACAGCAAGATCTATGCCTGCATAAGGTATAATGCCTAATAAATTCGGAACATAACCTTTGTAAAAAGCTCCAAAACCTTCACGTTTCAAAATCTTCTTGGCACAATCGTATATTCCAGAGTATTGTCCAGTTTTGCCTACAGCCAGCCTGGTTTTCACAACCTGGATATAAAAGAATATAACAAAAATCTATTGTTCATATTAACTCTATCATCATGGAATTCAAAAGAAGTCATTTTACAAAGAACAAACATCTAGCACATATTGTCACTCAAATGACTGTCCAATTTGTTGATATATTCTCCCTCATATATTACTTTTTTTCTTTTTTTAAACAGGGTCTTGCTCTATCACCCAGGCTGGAGTACAGTGGCCCAATCACAGCTCACTGAAACCTTGAATTCCTGGGCTCAAGCAATTGCCTGGTTAATTTTTTAATAGAGACAGGGTCTCACTAAGTAGCCCAGGCAGGTCTCAAACTCCTGGGCTCAAGCAATTCTCCTGCCTCAAACCCCCAAAATGCTGGGATTACAGGCATGAGCCACTGTGCCTGTCCATATTACCTCTTTTGAGGGGCTAAGATCAGAGCCAGGGAGACCCATTTATTGCAAAGAGGGTCTGAATGAGGGCACTGACAGAGGAAATGGAGACAAGTAATCCACAGATGTCTTAACAAAAATGACTGGTCACCAATTAGGTATGGAAGGTTAGGAAAATGGTAGTGTGAAACAGTGATTCCCCAACCTTTTTGGCACCAGGGACCAGTTTCATGGAAGACAATTTTTCCATGGCAGTGGGGGGAGGGGGGAGTGGAGGGGAATAGAGCTCAGGAGGTGATACGGCCCAGTTCCTAACAGACCACAGACTGGTACCAGTCCACGGCCTGGGAGTTGGGGACCGCAGGTATAAAGAATAACTCCTGTGTTTCCAGCATGGAACATAGGAGGAGAGCAGTGGGGAGGTGATGGCACTAATATTAACTGATATGGAGGATATAAGAGGAAGAAAAGCTATTGAGTTAGGATACTTTTTCGAGAGGTATGTGGAGTAATATGAACAATCATATTACTCAAGCTTGCAAAGAAGCTATATTAACATGCATACCACAGAGTGGTGAAAGTTAAGGGTGTATCTGCTTAGGTCTTAACAGTTGCTAAAAAACCCTTTTGTTATATCGATACAGATATCCATATCTAACAATATTATTTTTGCTCTACAGCAGGAGTCGGCAAACTTTTTCTATATAGGACAAATAATAAATATTTTAGTCTTTGCATACTTAAAATATCAGGTCTTTATTGCATATATTTTTCTTCTGTTTTATTTTTATCTACCTTTTAAAAATGGAAAAACCACTTAGCTCAAGGACTGTACAAAACAGTCCACAGGTCTGTGGTTTGCCAACCCATGCTCTATGGAAAGATGTCTGGTTAGGATTACCATCACATTAATATTACCAAATCCCAAAGTTCCATTATTAAATTTATGGTACAGGAATGCTTTAGAGAGGAATGGGAGTTATAATCCTCATCAACACAGTGGCAGCCAGCCTCTCAGATGTCCCCCAATGATCCTTGTCTCCTGGTATTCACACCACTGTGTAGCCCCTCCCACACTCTACCGGATTGGTCTGTGTGACCAAGAGCATACAGCAAAAGTGACAAAAGACTGTAGCTTCCATCTTGGGCATTCTCTCTCTGTCTCTCTCATTCTCAATCTCTCACTCTGTTGGATCACTGACTGTAGGGAAGCCAGCTACCATGTTGTGAGGTTCTCAGACAGCCTATTGAAAGGCCCATGTGATAAGGAACAGATGTTTCCAGCCAACAGCAAGTGAGGTGTGGCAGCAGCCACATGAGTGAGCCTGGAAGCAGCTGAGCAGCCTGGTCAACACCTTGATTGTAAGATGGAAACGCCCTGAGCTAAGGTGCTATGATAAATGCTTGCTGTTTTAAACTGTTAATTTTGGGATAACTTGTTATACAGCAATAAATGACCAATACAAACACCATCAAGCAATCAGACTTCACGGTGGTACTTACCTCCATGGGATAAATAAAAGTCTGTGCAGTTGCTCCAGCCATGGAACCAGAAATAAATCTCTCAAAGGTTCCAATTTTTTGTCCTTCCTCAGTAAGCAACTTCTTGTACTGTATGAGTAAGTTTTAAAATTCACATTAATATCTGCTATGGACTGAACTGTGGCCCCTCAAAATTTACGTGTTGAAGCCCTAACCCCTGAAGTGATAGTATTAGGAGGTGGGGCTTTTGGAGGTAATTCGAGTTAGATGAGGTCGTAAGGGAGGAGCCCTAGTGACAGGATAGTGTTCTTCTAAGACCAGACACCAGAGAGCTTACTCTCTTTCTTGCTCTGTCTTTCCTCATACGTGCATCAAGGAAAAGCCATGTGAGCACACAGCAAGAAGGTGGCTGTCTATAAGCCAGGAAGAGGCTCCTCACTGGAAACCAAACTAGCTGGCCCCCTGACCTTGGACTTCCCAGCCTCCAGAACTGTGAAAAATAAATTTCTGCTGTTTAAGGCACACAGTCTGTGGTATTTTATGGCAGCCAGGGCGAACTAAGACAATATCAACATACAAATCAGCTCCTAGAAATCAATAATTAATTGACAATGTGATGATGTGTCTCAAAACGCATGCACTGCATTAACAATACCTAGCAGAAAAGCAAGGCTTAAATGCTAACATATTCAGTTTACTGGATAGGTTTACAGTGGCTTTCAAGTTAAATATCCATGGAACACAGATGTGCCACACATTGGACCAAGTTGTTCTGTGCTAAAACGGTGTAATAGCATTCTTTCCTAGGTGCACAGAAAATACACGGTGAATGAAGTTTTCACAATTTTTGGATAGTTTTCTCATAGTTTTTTTTAAGATGAGTTTATTTTCAGAAGTACGAGTAAAATCAATAAATGATAAACAAGTATTAATAAAACAACTTAGAAAAACAGCTTTTGTAGGTAATCCATATAATTATGCTACATGTCAACCCCAGTGTCTCCCTGGTCAACCACTAAAGCAACTCGACACAGCTGATTGGACCAAGGGTGGAAATATGAACCAAATGCAGCCAAATAGTGACTGGGCAGGATGTTAATATCATGGGCTCCAGAGTCAGGCAGACCCGGGCTGAAATCCCAGAGTGGTGTGGCCCTGAGCAAGTTCATGAACACGTCCAGGTGCAGTTTCCTCATCTGTGATAACACTGTCTGTCTCACAGGGTTATTGAGCAGATTGAATTAAAACGTATAACACAGCACAGTTCTGGGCACTTGGCAGATGTTCAGTAGACATTATTATTACTATTATTGCTAATATTTTATCTTTGTACAACATGGAGAGAAAAGCTCTGCCCAAACACAGACTATGGGATTTAGCCAGGCAAACCAGAATCCTCCCTTTGGAAACTGGAGTGGGGAGGTGGGGGGCCTACAGAGGTAATCAGTTGCTGACACCACCGGGAAAAGTGGATAATCAACAGAGAGAAGCAGACGCACGTGTGGAGAAGGGAAGAGTCAGGGAAGTCCCACCTCCTGACCCTCTCTGAGGATCATTCCCTACTGCCAAATGTATCCCCACAGTGACCCCCATTCCTGAGCTAGCCAGTTTCTGTTCCTTAGGATCTAAAGAGCCCAATGCAACAATACAGGATGATTTTCCCTAACAAAATTGTGTTTCTCTGTTCATGATAAAAATTAAATATATTATTATGTCATGAAGTTCTCAAATAGCAGGTATTCCTGCAAAAACAGAGTATTGTTTCCAAGGGTTCTGATTCCTGAACTACCAAAATGTTATGTAAAACTCCTCTTCTGCCTACGCCCAACTAATTTTCCTATACATCAGATTGTCACAATCATTAAATATAATTTAAAACCTTCCTGCATATTAAAAGGAACACTGAAGGCACTTTTTACATCTTGTACCCCACCCAGAGAACCTCTCAAAAGTACACAGTAATTATTTAGTGACTAATGAATAATAATTAAAGGAAAATTGTTTGGGGCTCCTGTTCCCCCAAAACACACCACATTCAAAGGAAAGAGTTGAGGACAGAGAGTCTATAAAGGGTCGGGCACTGTGCCAGGTACTTAACACTATGTCACCAAGCTTAATCTCCATCTTAGAGATGAGCTAACAGTCACAGAGACTTTAAGTAACTTGGCAAGACCCCAGAATTTGACTTTCCTAAAGGAGACTTAACTGGGTTCTAAGGCCACCCTGAAATCCTTTTGTCTGTCTCAGTTCTGTCTCCCTTTGTTAGAATACCTGCTTCAATCTTCTCCATTCTCCTCCAGCTTCCAACACCACTTCCTCCCTCATTCTCAGGAAAGGCCCTTTCTTGGGGACTCAAGGAAGAACAGAAAGGCCACCAGGCAAGAATGTCCTGGTATTCCTGCCCACCACCCACAAAATTATCCACAACCACGTATATTTCTTTCTTCCCAAGCCGGCATAAGAAGAGTGAGTCCTCCTTGCAGTCAAAGGCCAACCCTTCTCGTGGTCTCTGGAGAGTGCTTGTTCCTCCCCAGTCCTTCCCACCCCACCCCCTTCCCCACACACAAGCGTCCTCTGCTGCGTTCATCAACCTCTCTCACCTGTATTTTCAACTTCTTTCTTTGTATTGACATGCTTCCTTCAGCAACAGGCACATTAAAATAAAACAAATCAAAACCTTTCCTCTCCCCTAACATCCTTATCTGCCACGCTCTCCCTCTTTCTTTTTCTTCCCTTTCCAGTCAAACTCCATGAAAAGGGTGTCTACATTACCCAAGTTCCTTTACCTCCTACTCACCCCCAAAAGAGATTAAAACCTTCCTCATTTCAGCATGGTTTCTCGTCCCATTACTTCACTGAAACATAAATACTAAGCTTATCTATCTCTGGATGGATAAATCCTAAAATACACTTTTCTTGCTACATACGCCTACGAGGCGTTTGACCCTTCATGAAATCCATCTCTTCCCCTCTTCCAGGCCATCGCTGCCTCTGGATATCCTCCTGTCCCTCGAGCTGTTCCTTCTCAGTGTCCTTTACAAGCTACTCCTTTACTTCTCCCTTTGGGTTTATTCCCAGAATTCTTCTCATTCTGTAAGCTCTTCTTGAGTGATTCTGCACATTCCAATGGCTGAGACTCAGCAACAACCTCTCTATCAAAGATCTCTCTTAACTTCCGGATGCCACCTCCACTTGCACACTGCGTAGCTCCCCACACACATCCCAGAGGTACCTAAACTTGGCGTGTCTAAAATGGAAGCAGACGTTGTATTCTCTATGTACACAGTTACTCAAGTCAGGAACCAGCATATCACCCTCGATTCCTCTCTCTCTCTCTCACCCACATCTAATCAGTCGGTGAGTTCTGTTAATTCTATTTCCAAAACATTTTTGGGTCCACTGCCTTCTTCTACACTCCCGGCAGCCATCACCTTATACTGGCGCTTATCATTTTGTACCTGAATTACTGAAATATTCCCTCAAATAGTCTCGCTGCCTCCAGCCCAGCCTCCCTCTCCTCCAATCCTTTCTCTACTCTTTTTCCAGGTTGATCTTCCTTAAATGTAAATGTACTCATTTCACTTCCCTACATTAGATGCTTCAATAGCCCCCACTATATTCAGGATAAAAGCTAGACTCCTACTACATTTGGCTCCTTGTCTGTCTGTGCAGCCTTCATCATTATCTTCCCAGAAACACACTCTACCACTCTTGAGGCACAGATTCCTCAGTGACTGATGCCCTCTTGTGCCTACATTTCTGTCTACCTGCTGCTGCTTCTGCTTATAATCCCCACCCTTGCCTTCATCTGAACGAGCTTGAGATTGAGGCAGGCTTGAGTTCAAATTCCAGTTCTGGCAGTTCTGCCTTTTCATTCATTCAATAAGGATTTCCTGGCACTGGTCAAGGTGCTGGCAATACAAACCTGAAAACAAATAGCTACTGCCTAAGGAAGTTCACCATCTCACAAAGGATCATCAGAATTCTCTGTGAAAGTGCGATAACAAAAGGAAACGAAGGGAACTACAATAATGCAGAAGGTTTCCTGGAGGAACTAACTCCTGAGTAAAGTCTTGAAGGACATTCCCCACTATATGACATAGAAAGAGGAAGGGTGTGTGTGTGTTGCTGGAGTGGAAAGTAGTGCAAAGACATCTGCTGTACTGCGGACATGCTGAGTTTGAGGCACTCCTGGGATACGCAACCAGAGATGCAGAGATATACAGTACACAGGTGGATACACAGGTACAGAGATGAAGATGTTAGGATAGAGGACAGTTAGTATACAGATGGCAGCTGAAACCATGAGGACGCTGCACCACATTGCCATCTTATCAATGATACAGTGACACTGTTACGGTAATGACAACCCAAACAGACCACAGCTTTATCCCAAATTGATGAGATTTGAGAGAGCTACATACCAGGCTGAAAATATCCTTTTCTTAGTTTTCTAAACTACGTTCAGTGAACAGAATCTATCTGAATCCAGAAGTGGCCCAGCTGAGTACTCTGCGGAATTAGAGAAAATATATGGCATATATACCCTGAAGAAATGATCCAATGGAAAACTGGATCCTCTGCAATTCGGCATGCTACGGAGGCTGGGCAGGGGAGGCACTGGTTTGAGCTGGGAAGCTCGCACAGGAAGGTGGCCTAAAGAGAGCCCTGAGGGATGAACGGACCCTCTGCAGAAGGGGAGAAAATGGAGAGAGATAACAGGTCCT